GGCTGTGGGGGCAGATTCCTTTCTCTGTAGAAACTCAAAGGCGTAGGTGAAGCCAGACCGTCTGACCAATGTAATGTTATGGAAGGCTGCCTGTACCCCAACTTTGGGGGAAAAGAGATGGAAGAAAAGAGAACTAACCTGGACAAACTGCCTATTAAATTCCTGGTAGTCAGCTACTATCTTCATGGTCCCATGAATATTTTTTGGCACCATTCCTCTAAGGTAAGCCTCACTCTGCCTGTTTCATCAAGGAGAAAGCTGAGATTTAGAGGTCCTTCCTGAGGTCCTGTCATTGCTCCCTCCAAAGACGGCCTGAATGCATAATAGAAGAGGTGCATTTGCATGTTTGTGAGGGGGTCTCACACTGAGGTTTTGTTTCACACTTGGAGACATCTGCTGCCAAGGAGCAGAAAGACTCAGTATTTTCAAGCCACACTAAACTCCAAATGCCTAGGCCCATGAGCTCCTACAATTCCCACAATAGCTTCCATAGTTGGATTTTTATCTCCACTTCACAGATGAGAACTTGAAAACTGGAAATTGGAGAGGTGAAATGACCTTCCCAAGGCCACCCAGCAGATAAATGGGAGAGGTGGAGTTTGAACCTGGGTTGGTTGGGTGCCATTCTCTTCTCATGGCTCCACTGTGACATTTTTTGCTGAAGAGAATCAGTGAGTTGAGGCTGTGGGCTAAGCTGCCTCCTGGTGACCCTCTCAGCACCTTCATACTAGCTGGTGTGGCTGTTCTCACTTCCCATGTTGGGTGATAGATATTTGTGCCTATGTCCCATCTCTGACTGTTGAAGCAAGAAATAATGTCCACTTCCTCTTAGTAGTTGCCCCAGTTCTATATGGATGGCAAGGTTCTAGGATACTTATTGGATGGATAGACAAAAAGTGGATGGTGGAAGAATGGATGGATGGATAGAAGGATGGAAGGAAGGAAGGCTGGATGAAAAGATGGATGATGGGTCAAAAGATGGATGAATGGATGGATGGATGGACGGATGGATGGAAAGATGGATGGATGGGTGACAGAAAGATAGATGAAAACAATATTAACAATGAAGAATATTATTAAGCAAGGAAAGCATTTACTAGAAGATAACATTTTCCGAAAAGTTTGGAGGACGATAAATAACAAAAAGTAAAGGAAAGAAGAAAATCAGAACATTTCCAAGATAAGTTTACTTAATGAATTAATTACTGAGAGCCTAGCATGGTGAAGAGAAGACTGGATGTTACTATCATCATCATCAATATTATCAGTCATCACTGTCCTTAGCATTAATGGCCAACATTTATTATGATCTTCCTTTATAGCAGACACCGTACTAAGTATTTTATATCTTTTGTTTAATTTGGTCCTTCCAACAAATGCATGGAATAGGTATGATTCCCATTTTATGGATGAGTGAGCTGTTAAGCGCCTTGCATAATTATTGTTTTTAATTATGAAATCCTGTACACCTATGGAGAAAAATTCAAATAGGGAGTCTTGCAATTATCCTTGATTGTTCATTCCCACTTCTCAGAGATCTTACCAGCCAACAATCTTGTGACAGTGGCAGGATGCCAGCCCCAACTACCCCACGGCCCAGGACAAAAGGTCCTCCACAGCATTTGAATGTGCCAGTGATCAAGGAATGACTTGGTCCTCACTTGAATGTTCCAGACATGGGTGTCTGGCTGTTGAGGTTCACTTCATAGTTCAATCATTGTCTTGAACCACCCCCAAATATTTTCTATTAATATCCATGGCTTGATCCAAGTAGGCTCATTAACATTCCAGAATATCGGTCCTTATCAACTTCTTACATTTGCACGGTGTCCTTCGTGGCACAAAGAAGCAAACCATGTAGATACCTGGGGGGAAGCATCCAGGTGGAGGGAAAAGCAAGTGTAAAGGCCCTGAGATGTAAGTTAGCTCAGCCTGTGCTGGAAACAGCGAAGAGCCTAGTGCAGCTGGGGCAGATCAAGGGAGAACAGAGTGATAAGGAATGAGCTTGGAGGGGAAGGCCGTGGTATGGACAGTGGATTGTGTTATAAAAGTGACAGAGAAGTGTGTGGGAGTTAATGGATCCCACTTGTCCCCATTTTGATCTCTCCAGTGGCTTCTGTTTGTGTTTAGAATCTAAGGAAGGCTCTGTAGGGGTCCAGCACCATCTGCCTCGCCAAGTACCTCTTGGGCCTCGCTCCTCCCTGCTCACACCTGTTCTGGTTGTTGTTTAAATACATGTCAGCTTTTTCTCTCATCTTGCCTCTCCTGCCCAGATGAGCCACCAAACCCCTTCCCCTGGTTCCCCTCACGCCTACATCCCACTCTTCCTGAGGGTCTGTTTACAAGTCATTTGCTTGGAAGAGCCTCACCGGTCTCCTGTCACCTTGCCCCAGTTACTCTTTGTCTGTAGCCTTGGTCCTTCCCCTTCGTCACCATGATCATGAGTAAGAGACACATGCTTGTCTCTGGTTTATTCCCTTCCTGTCTGTCTCCTTCGTAGGCAGCCCAGCCCCATGAAGGCAGGGGCAAGGCCTGTCTCCCACTCTGCTGTCTCTCATCCCCTAACCTGCAGCCCACGCATTGTACAGGCTCAGGAAATATTTGTTTCTGAATGAATGCTTGAAAGCAAACACCAAGACCCCTGTGGACAGGACAGGGAAGAGGCTGGAGGCCAGGACATCGGTGATGGAAAGTGACAACCATCTGGGGGATAGAAGGTGAAAGCCTGAGTTTGCAGGAGCAGGAGAGACAGAGAGAAGGTGATGCGTTCACGAAGCCATTCGGGAAGCAGAAGCCACAGGGTTTGATGACTGATAGGACGTTAGAGAGGAGAAAGCTTTACTGTTGGGGTGACAAATTGGGGGGTGGGGAAGAGCATTGTCTTAGCATTTATTTTCCGTGGTTCTGAAGGCTGGGAAGTCCAAGACAGTGGTACCCACAGATTCAGGGTCTGGTAAAAACCCATTTCCTGGTAGACAACCATCTTCTCACTGTGTCCTCATGTGGCGGAAGGGGCGAGGGGGCTCTTTGAGGTCTCTTTTACAAGGGCACTAGCCCCACTCATAACGTGTCACCCTCATAACCTAATCACTCCCAAAGACCCCACCTCCTAATGCCAATACCTTGGAGGTTAGGATTCCAACATATGAATTTGGGGGAGACACTTGAGCATCTGCCTCTTGATTTCAGCTCAGGTCATGATCCCAGGGTCATGGGATTGAGTCCCTTGTTGGGCTCTGTGCTGAGTGTGGAGCCTAAGATTCTCTCTCTCCCTCTGCCCGTGTTCCCAGCTCTCACTCTCTCTCTCTCTCTCAAATAAAAAAAAAGGGGGAGAATAAAATAGAATTTGACATTCAAAAGTTTGCCTGGAGAGCTCTGGTATGAACAAGGATTTGGGTGGACATTTCTGGACTACTTAGTGTCCCACAGCAGCTGAGAGCCCAGTCTCTGGTGTTAGGTTGTTGGGGTTCAGCTAAAAGCCCCAGCACTTATGAAGTTTGTGATCCTCAGCAAGATGCTTAAGCTTTCTGTGTGTCAACTTCCCCAAATGTGTAATGGGGGTTATATTAGTACCTCCCTCTTTGGGCTACTGTCAGGATCATAACGAATTTAGAATAGTGTATAGCACTCAATGAGTATTACCTCTTATTGTTTATGATCTCAGTTAATCATCATCACAAGCCTAAGTGGTAAGTAAGGTTAGCACCCCCATTTTTTTAGAGGAGGAAGCTGAGGCTTGGAGAACTTAAGTAACTTCCCAAGGTCACCCAGGTGGTAAATGGTGGAGTCAGGATTTCAGTCAGGACCAGCTAGTTTCTGCAGTCAGAGGTGGGTCCAATTCTAGAGTCTGAACCACCAGCCAGAGTGAGAGCCATGAGTAGGTGAGCAGTGAATGAATGAGATATCACTCAGGAAAAAGCAAGTTTAGGGCTTGGTGCTGTAGTTAAGAATAACAAGAGAAATCGGAAAGACATTCCAATGTGTAGCAGGAAGGCAAGTGAGAGAGTGTGTTCTGAGACCCAGGTGCTCAGTAATGCCACCTACCTGTTCAAGGACCTGAATCGATGGCTTTGGGATTTTTTCCCCCAATGGACCATTCAGATTTGTTATTAAGAATTGGGGCCATCTGGTGTCTTTCCTGAGCTGCCTTATCTTTGCCTTAATTACTCATAAACCCAACTAACAATTTACAGTGGAAATGCCCTTTCACATCAGTATCTCATTGGACCCTCACAGCCTCTCCCGGAGGCAGGAATTATTAACCTACACTTCTGCAGGCGAGGGAACAAAGGCCCATAGGAGGGAAGCGGTTTATGAAGCTTGAGAACTCTGAAACTTGTGTAGACAGGTCTGCAGTGGAACCCGAGATATGTCCCTTACCATCTGTGGTGTTTGGGCAAGTTACTCAACTTCCCAAACCATGTTTTCACTCTACTGTAAAGCAAAAATAATCACCCCTGCTCCTTAGGTTGTTAGAAGTGGCATATAGTAAGCACTTAATAATTTGTAGCCAGGGGCACCTGGGTGGCTCAGTCGGTTCAGCATCCGACTTCAGCTCAGGTCATGATCTCACAGTCTGTGAGTTCAAGCCCCGCGTCAGGCTCTGTGCTGACAGCTCAGAGCCTGGAGCCTGCTTCTGATTCTGTGCCTCCCTCTCTCTCTCTCTGCCCCTCCCCTGCTCATGTTCTGTCTCTCTCTGTCTCAAAAATAAATAAAAACTTAAAAAATATATTAAAAAAAATTCGTAGCCAGCAGTAGAAGCAGTGATAGAAGCGGAACCTCAAGACAAAACCAGGTCACCAGTTCCAGCCCTGGGTTGTTGTTTTTCTGGAGAACAGCACATCTTTCTTTCCTGTAAGAGGGAGTTACTCTTCACTGCCCTCTGGGGATAGAAAGTAAAAGGGCATGACACCAAACCTGGCAGTTAGTGGAAGAGGAAGGGGCCCCGCGAGAGCAAAATTTTTGTTTTCCTTCAGTCCAGAAAGAAGAGGCCAGTTGCGATGAATCGATGGTCCGGTTACCTGCTGGGATGGATGACCTTCCTCTACATCTGGGAGACAAGTGGAGGTGAGGGTACTGGGCAATGTTGGGGAGGATTTGGAAACCGGACCAACCTGGATTCAGGTAGGGAGGAGATAGAGAGTCATCTGCTTCTGGACTACCTTGAGCGTGGATAACTGAAACCATGGAAAGAGAGACCGTGGATAAGCCGGGGACTGCTGTGCCCAGGACACAAGCACCATTTGAGATGCTCAGCATGCGTGGTAGGGAAATGCGAATACGTTAATCGAAAGGGGGAGGGGCTCCATAATTCCAATGGACTGAGTCCTCAGACTGCAACTTGGACCCTCCCTTTCCACTCTTTTTCTTAAATCGAGGTAAAATGCACAGAACATAAAATTTCCCCTCTTAACCGTTTTGAAGTGCACAGTTCAGTAGAAGTACACCCACAGCGTTGTACAACCAATAGCCATGATACATCACCTGTACTCAAACAATGCACGTTTCCCCCGCCCCCAGCCCCTGGAAACCACCAACCTGCTTTCTGACACCATGAATCTGACTGTTCTACATACCCCACGAAAGTGGAATCAAACAATACTTGTCCTTTTGTGACTTTTATGTCCCTGAGCATAACGTCCTCAAGATTCACCCATCCATTGTGTGGCCTGTGTCAGAATTTCCTTTCCTTCTAAGGCCGAATAAATATTCCACTGTGTGTGTGATACATACTATGGACATACCACGTTTCGTTTATCCATTCATCCATGGATGGACGTGGATTGTTTCTACCTCTTGGCTGTGAACAATGCTGCTGTAAACATTGGGTGTTACAAATACTTCGCGGGATATAACAAGGAGTGGAATTGTTGGGTCACATGGCAATTCTACGTTTATTTTATTTTATTTTATTTTATTTTATATATTTATTTTTTTTTTTTGAGGAACTGCCATACTATTTTCCAAAGCAGCTGCACCATTTTGTATTCCCATCTACAGTGCACAAGGGTTCCAATGTCTCCACATCTTTGTCAATACTTGTTGTTTTCTGTTTAAAAGAAAAAAAGTAGGGGCTCCTGGTCGGCTCAGTCGGTACAGCGTGTGACTCTTGATCTCGAGCTTGTGAGTTCGAGCTCCACATTGGGTGTAGAGATTACTTAAAAATAAAATCTTTAGGGGCGCCTGGGTGGCGCAGTCGGTTAAGCTTCGACTTCAGCCAGGTCACGATCTCGCGGTCCGTGAGTTTGAGCCCCGCGTCAGGCTCTGGGCTGATGGCTCAGAGCCTGGAGCCTGTTTCTGATTCTGTGTCTCCCTCTC